AGGGCCTGAGGCTCCTTTGACATCATCTCCTCCTTCTCTAGCCTTGGCCTACCTCCACTTCCCCAGTCCAGGTGGGACCTGTAATCCCTAGGTAGGCAGTCCAGTAACTATCACCCCGCCCAGGAGCCCCCTCACTCAGGAAAGAGAGAAGAAAAGCCTGGCCTGGACTCAGAGGCCCATCTGGAGTGGAGCCAACCTCCCAGTGGTGCGCCTCACTCACCCAAAGAAACCTCAAAATGCTCCCTCCCTTGTCTGGGACCTCCCAGGCTTTCATTCTGCTGCTGCAGCCCACCTCTAGCACCCAGGACTCAGCAGGTCCAGGAGACTCATCCCCATCTCCCTTGTGGGATGAGGGTCCTCCAAACACATTGTCCTAGTGTCCTGGCCAGAGGCGTACCCCAGGAGCAGGAGTGAAAAGTCAAGACACCCAAGAGGACAGACAGGCAGGTTAGGAAAGGCCCAGGAGAGAGACAGGGAGGGGCTTAGGGTCTTGCTGGAAGGGGAAGACACACCCACCATCACCATCAACAAACACCAGTATTTCAACACCAAAACACAATTTCACCACCACCACCACCAGCCCTAGCTAACATCTGTCAAACAGCCCTGGTAGCTTCATTCCAAGGAGGAATAGGGAGAGGGGCTGAGAGGGGCTGACCCTCTTAGCTCTTCCCCTGGGCAACTTGGAGCTGTTCCCAGGAAGGCAGAGACCAATAGTGGGGTGGTCTGGGTCCTCCCCCAAAACAGATTCCGGTCAAGGGCACATGCCCGGGTTGCGGGCTCCATCCCCAGTAGGGCGCGTGCAGGAGGCAGCCAATCAATGATTCTCATCACTGATGTTTCTATCTCCCTCTCCCTTCCTCTCTGAAATCAATAAAAGTATATTAAAAATAAATAAAGTTTTCAAACTGGGGCCCTAGGAAATTCGCGTGTTTAAGAAACCGGACTCCCAAATCAATTTGACCCCTCAATGCTGGTCCAAGAAGCGGCGGCTCCCCCAGCGCCTCTCCCGCCCGGTGGCCCCGGCCCCACCCTCCTCCCCGCCCTCCGTGCCTCCTTGTTTATTTCCTGAATCTGGCCCCACCTGGCGGGCCCCAAGGTGCGCAGGGTGGCAGGGCCCTTTGTTTGGGGCAGATAAACAACACGGCCATCGTCCGGCTTCCCAGGGTGGGGGCGGGGCTCGCAGGGCAGAGGCCTGGGCTGCGGGTCTGGACGCGGCGGGAAGGCCCAGGTGCTGTCCGGCACTCCACGCCCCGCCCCCGTCGGGATGGATTGTAGGGGGCAAGGCTTAATCTTTGGGGGTGCTCTTGGGGTGCAGGGCCCAGGTGAGGAGGCGGTAAACCCCTTTGTGACCCGGAGTTGGGGGGAGGGACCAGGACCTGAGGCCCCGCCCACTCCCTCGCTTAGAGAAAAAAAAAAAAAAGCACCCAATGGGAAGGGGGCAGCTCTTTTAAAGTTTAATTTGGGAAGAATGCTACAGGGTCCGGGGAGTTAATCATTACAGGCCGCTTGCCTTCCAGAAGGGCCCCCCGGCAGGGGACCAGGGGGGAGAGCAGAGTCCAGGGTGGGCAGACCGAGAAGGGGCCTCTGGAGAGGCGGTAGGGTTGGGCCGCCGGCCAACGGCGGACAGGTGCATTCTCCATCCCCGAAGTGCCAGGGCGACCCGGACCCGGACCCAGACCTGGACCCAGACCCGGACCCGGCTCTTTCTCCAGCAGCTCAGTCATCCCAGACCATCTCCCCCTCCCACCCTCACACTCCGCCCAGGACACCCTCTCTCCGCAGGCCGCGTGCGCTGCAGACCACCCACTGCGGAGCCCACCGCGTCCTGAGCCAGGAGCCCCCCCCCCCACGCCGGCCCGCCCCGGCCCCCCTGCCCATCGAGGGCAGGACTGTGGTCCTGAGCGGAGAGAGACAATCATCCAGAGCCCCTCTCCTAGTCTGCCCCCCAAACAGATGGGAGGGTGCCCCCGGCCCCGCCGTGGAGACGTTGGTCTTTGATAAACTTGGGGAACCTCAAACTGGGTAAAGCCAGGCTGGACCGCGAGCGCCTCCCGGCCGCTGGCTCGGGACTCAGCCCCCCTCCCAGCTCGCCTTCCGGGAATGGGGAGGGGCTAGTTTCAGCGGGAAAGCGCGTCCCCGAAAGGGAAGGATCTGAGCTCTGGCTTCCCCGCTCCTATCGCCTCGTCCGTCCAGGGGGCGCGGGGTGGGTGCCCACAGGGCGGGCGGGCAGGAGATGAGAACGGGGCGAGTCTGGGGCAGGTGGTGAGGAGGGGGCGGGGTGAGAAACTCGAGGAAAAGAGCCAGTGAGGCCGCCGGGTAGCTCGGCAGGAGGCCGAATCTTTCCACCTGGACCCCGGACCTGCCGGGGCTCCGCACCCCCAAGACAAAACGCCCGCTTCGGCCCTTACCTGGACCTTGCGCACAGGTACACCTGGCTGGGGCCGCGGGTTCGGGAGGGAGGCGCCAGGCCCTGAACTACCTGTCCCCCTCCTGCCCCCGCCCTCGGCCTGACATCACTGAGTGGGGGAAGGGGGAGCCCGTCGGCGGCTCAGCCGCTCACCTGGGCAGCCAGCCAGCCCGTGGCCCTGAGACCAGCACAGCCTGGGGCCCCGGCGCGTCTGGGGGGCGAGAGCAGGTTGTCATCTGGGATCGATCTCGGTCCCCTTACCTGGAGAAGCCTCAGCAGGAGTCGTGGGACTCAGGGTCCGAAATCCGGCTCAGTCTAGGGACCTTAGGGACCTGGACTTGGCTGCAAATCCACTCCCTCTTCTCTACAGGTGGTAGCAGGGTGTCCCCACGTCGGAGGTAGAAGTGGGGGGCGGGGGAGCGTGAGCAGCCCTGTGTGTACCCGCTTCTGGCCCAAGGAAACTAAAATTTGTTGTGCAGGTGGAGGCGGGGCCTGGAAAGGGGCCTGGGAGGAGGAAGCACCCTAGGGGCGGGGACTCCCTGAAACTCGACGCCGGCCGGGATTGTTTTTGTCCTTTTCGGCCTGGCAGCAGGTGCCAGGGAAGAGGCGGAGACAGTCGACCTGAACCGCCTCCAGAGCGAAGATCTCGAGTCCTCGTCGCCTGTAAGGGAGAAGCTGGGGGCGGGAAAGTAGAGGGAAGCGGCCCCGCCCACTCCTCCCCTCGTCCCTTCTCCAAACCTGTTCATTGGCCAAGCCAGGCGGCTATCGGTTCCACCCCCTGGGGCAAAGGCCACTCTGCAAAAGAGGGAAGCCTGCCCCTTGACCTCCGGCCAGTCTAGTTACCCAAGCTGCCTCCTGGCTCCCAAGAGGCACCCAGAGTGTGTCCTCCCTTCTAAGCAAAGTCCAGAGACTCAGCTTCTCCTTCTGAGACGGAAGGGGTAAGTCAGGATCTCTTGGCGGGAGGAGTGATCTAGGCAAAGCTCTGGCCAGGTGCCCGGGACGCCCGGAGAGCCCTCCCTCTAGCTCTCTCCTGCAGCACTAGGCAAACACTGGGGCTGGAGGAGGATCTGGGAAGCTGAGATCAAAGGCAGCGGCCACCTCCCCGCCAGAAGTGGGTAATGGTTGGGTAAACAAACAATCCACAAGGTGATAAGAGGTCTGCCATGAGAAATGGCTCCAGCCTCAACTTTCTCCAAACCAGATTTTTCTAGGAAAAACCAGTATGAGTGAACTAAGCAAAGAAGTGTGTGTGTGGGGGGGGGGGGGGGGGGGGGGGGGGGGGAGGTCACCTGGGCCACGGGGCAGCTTGTGCAAAGCACAGTGGACAGGTCACTCAATGATTCCTTCCTTCATTCAGCTGGGATTTGTTAAGGACCTACTATATGCTAACCCCATGCTTGGGACTGGGGAATCCAGCCCTGAGCAACAAAAAAAAAACCCCACCCTTGTCCTCAAACAGCCCAGGCAGGGGGACTGATGTTAATCAAAAGGATCATACAAACAATAAGAAA